ATGTTTAATATATCTATCACATTAATGTTTGAAGGATCTTAAGCTAAAACAAAACACATGCGTCAGTATGAAATACCAAAACGGAACGAATAACCGATTATGTTTTGTAGTTTATACATCGTAAGTTGGTTCTCGGTTGACTTCTTTACTTTTTTGTTCCGTTAAATTCAAGCAGATTCCAGTTTTCAGTGAAAAGAAACGAGAAATTTGTAGTGAAGCATTTAATTTTTTAATCTATCAGTATATATTTGATATTGAATAAAAATAACATATTAATATGGATTAGGTAAAATTATTAGTTTTGAAAATGATAAGATCGCCCTCTACAAAATCAATAACAAACATGGCAGAAAGTAAACAAACCACCTTGCGAAATCGATTTTTTTCTCTTAATACTTGCTTATTGTACTCTATAGTCCGCACCCTGTCTGGCAGGTTCAATTTTGGAGAATAAAACCGCGGACTATACAAGCCTTTTAACGGTAGTAATTATTTTTATAAATTCAAAAATAGAGAATAATGTAAATGCATTGCACATTGTTGTGATTTTATATCATACCATTATTCCAGCCGTCTGATTGTGCTGAGCTAAAGGGAGGTAACTGTCTGTTACAGGGTGTGTCCTTTAAGTAAGGAGTTATTCCTAAGGCCTCCATCAGCTGATCTAGTAGTAATCCTTGAACACTTCCTATGATGTTATTTTCAGCTATGAATTTGTCCAGTGAAAATTCTACAAAAAAATAATGAAAACTTTAAGAAATCTATAGAGACTGTGTATGTTCTAAAATATAATACATAGAAGTCTGTGGCTCTGTTCACAAACAAATCTTATGAGTCAACTACATTGAATTTGTATTGCATTATTTTTTTGGGGAAAAAAAGTTGCTCAATAGTATGGTCTAATCTTATCTAAGATGTAAGACTGATACATGTTCAATGTACAGTAGCAAATACTACAAGAATAATCTGCTTTGTCCTAGAACAACAAGCTGAGTCAGATTTTCAAAATTCTTGCTCACAACACATTATTTTGACTCTGAGCTAACCTGTTTAGCTTGCTTAGAAGAAAAGCAGTATATACCAAAGTTAAAGTATCTGTTTTGATCCAGCCATCATCACATACTCCAGACCAGCATGATATGGCCAGATCACTGTGGTAACTCTTAACAAAACTGAGACACAAAGTAATTGTAAAGAAGACCTTGAATATTTGACAGCACTGTACTCCTCTTTTAACTGAGCATGCAGTCTTCAAATGGTCTAGATGGATACCTTACACGGCATAGTTTGAACTTAGTTTTCCTTCAACAAAATCCTTTCTAGAGCAGTTTGGTAATGAAAAATTATTAACTGTAGTAGATTTGATACAATTTTCTGAATTATTCAAGCTTAAAAAGCTTTATATTCTAAAACATTGTACAACATGAAACAATCTCTACCAACATACCTGGTATTTTGAAGCCACCAGTCCAATCACATCCAAGTTTAGGTAGTTTGGTGTTTTGGAATATTGGTACAGAAACCAGACAAGCCCCATCATGTTCCAAACAAACACTCATATTCATATTTAACATGTACTTCTTCTCAGCATTCAAGTCATGGATTGTAAATCTGGAAGAATAATTTGAATGGAGAATGGAGGAAAGCCACAGTTTAAAATTCACAAACAAAAATTAAACAATCTAGATGGGACTAGTTTATTCAAACATGTATGAAATGATAAACAAGCAATTAAATCAGATATATTATATTTGTTATTTCAATAGTTGATGGCATTAATAGAATATTTGATGGTTACAAACTGATATTATTTAAGTCAATGACATGTCAATAAAGCCAACAAATTGTAAACTTCATTCAGTAAATCTTAAACTAGTAGTACCAAGCAATATAAAAAAACTGAGCAATTTACCACAATTCCAATATGTAAATGCAACATATAGAAAAACTTGACTTTAAATTTATAACTTGGAAGTGCTCTGCATCAACAGAATATTCTGATAGCATCACTTATTGAATTGATGCCCTGTAATTTTAACATAGTCCAATTGCAAGCAATATCAATTACAACTTTCAAGAAAAGTTATGTGCATTGTCACTTTAAAATGTCATATTTTTTTTTCATTTTATGCTTTTCATTACACTGAATCAATAAGATAAAAACAATTTTAGATACAAATGAAGATCAATAAAAATTGAAATTTCTTAGAAAAGAATATTTTCAAAATTTAAAACCGAACAGATGCTCAAAACAGTTAACATACTTACTCTAAACGTATAACATTTAGCAATGAGAAAACCTCTTTTTTACCTGAAAATAATTGAAATTTTAAAATAGTATAATGTGACATTAATTAATTTTCATAAAATCAACCAATTAATCAAGAAAAAAAATGAAAAGCTCATCCCAAATAGTTTTTGCAGCATTTAAATGTTCAAAGAAAGCGACAACTACTATTTGTACTGAAAATTACATATAGTAAATTTGTCTTATACATTTAATCAGGAATTCTAGAAAAAAATGAACTATAAAATGATAAATTCAGTGACCAATGCAACAGGAATTAAAAAAAAAAGTATTAGAACCAAACACAATATATATATGAGATCCAAAAGAATAGTATGAGATAAAATTCAAATTCAAATTATATATAAAAAATAATATAAATACCCCATTCATAGTTGGACAGTGATATATTAAAGCTCCTTTTCTCTATACCCACACTAAGTTTCCAGTTACAGGCATCCAGTAGTGCATATGTACTGAAGGATTTTCCGATCTTTCCAACTTCTATACAACAGCTTATTCCTGTGCAGTAATCTGGGATGTAACAACTCACAGAACTGTGAATCTTAGGGAGTGTCATATTCAGGGGACAGTCTGGAAAAAAAGAATTAGAAAACTCAGTCGCTTTATATTAAAAGCAATGCAATGCTGCTTTGAATGAAACACACTCTTGTATGTGGAATTTACAATGTTACTTTAAGTTAATAATCTTTTTACTGGAAATAAAAAATCATTTGAAGTTTTTTTTTTAAATATCTTACTTTTTATGAACAAGTTTAACTACTTTAATCCATATAATCTTTACAAGAAATATTAAAATCATTGCCTTCATAATACTAGATATTAACAGCTCAAGTAATGACATTTTCGGTATATATCAGTGTATAGCTAACATATAGTCATTACCTTTAGAATTCCAGCCATCGATAGCTCCAGCAAATACACCTGTATATCTATCACATTGTTCTTCATTCATAAAGGGAGATAATCCTAGTTCATCCAATAGTCTGTTAGCCAGTGCTGTAGACAAACTCTGACCTAATTGTAATCCTTTGTCTTTCATCCATTCAGACAGTGACACATCTAAAAACAAATAACATATATAAAAATTTGTCCTCTTTACCTATAAGTTATGACATTTTGAGGTCAAATTTGATAGTACCGTATAAACTCGCCTAATAGTCGATCCTACTATAAGTCGGGGGCCCTTTTCAGCTCCAAATTCTAAGGATTTAGTCTTGACCCTCGTATAAGTCGGACAAAATTTGGGCATTTTTTTTTCAGCTGACAGTAACTGAACGCCGGTAGAACCAATGCAAATCCAGGAATAATATTCATTTCTGCATTAATGTTTGGTTTGAATTTAGTTGATGCTCATCATGATAATTTATATTGCTGTTAATAATAAAGATGTATTCATTTCTCTTGTTTTGTTCACTGTTCAAATGTTAGATTAGCCATGTGTTGTTTACGTAATGCATCAATGATTTTGTAGGGTATGACTAACAACCTATTGTTTGAGAAAAGCGAATATAAACCAATATGAAACTGAAAAATTTAAAGTCAATCAACACTTGATGAAAATATTTTTCACAGCATACATAACTCGGTGTTAAATGAGCATGTACACTTCATAATTCTAATTATATTGTGATGATTAAAGGATTAAAAAAATTAAGTGAAGCTTATCAATATATTAAAATAACTAACTCCAACTCATTAGTGTCATCTGTTTACCTATCACTGATAGTTTTCACACCTTTAGTAAATACAACTCTTTGTCTCTTAATTGGGGTTATCAATGGATTATATTGGCTTGTCAATCAATTTTGTAATTTTTGTTTACCTGAGACACTTTAATGAATAATATTTTGATTTTGGGAATGAATCTTAAAATTATTTTTTGATTATTATATGATTTATAAGCATTGAATTGATATCATGATATCACAATAATGACACAATAACACCGCTGAAAACATCCTTTCACATATTTGGTACATTGTTATCTCCTTTTCATTTTTGGTTCTTGGCTCTTCTTTTGGGTTTATAGGAAAACCATGTGACCATGAAAATCAATACACAAACCGGAAACAGTAGGATTTCAACACGAATTTGCAGAAAATGTTTACCAAAGAACAAATAAAACACAAAGACAGTATTGTAGTCATTTATTTTCAACAAAAACTTTTTATTTATTGATTTATGTAGGTTTGGCAATCAAAAACGTAGTTTTGACCAGGAAATTCACTCCTGACCACTTTTCTCAAGCTTGGATTTTTCCTCTGGTCGCTAGATCTCGTCTATTAGTTGGTCCCCCTCTCTGGATTATGAATTTTACTCCCAATTTTCCGACTAATAAGCGAGTAGGTACGGTAAATACCGGGTATATAATTTCATGTGCCACAAAGTGTGTTGTCATCTTTGTATTTCTATATAATTACCATGAACCTCCTCAATGTAATAGATCTATAATTTATCTACAAGCTATTTTCTATCCAACTAACAAACCCTTTGATTATGCAACAAGGCATGTCATAAATTCATTTGAAATCAATGTTATAGTTTAAGCCTTCTAACCATTTAAATCTAAAGTGTTACAATTGCTTGCTGTAACAAAGATCTTATTCCAACCTCTTGAAGTGGCATTATCTTGACCCTAACAAAAAAGTCCAAAACACATGTTTTACTGCTAAATGAAATATACCTGTTATACTGAAATTCATGTTCATATCACAGAATGGTTGTGGTATTAACTGTTTGGTAAACAATGGAAGCTTGGTATCACATTTATCTTTCTCCAAACATATACTGAACTCCAAATCAACAATGAATTTCTTCTGTTCTGACAACTTGTTGATTTTGTATCTAAAATAAATAATACAAAAAATTAAACAAAGTAATACCTGCCTTATGGATTTAAAGTTAAATTTATATTCATAAGGTGGATCTTTAATATAATGTTTGAACTTCAGGAAAGATACTCTATGTCCATTATTCAATTGATTTAACAGGATTAGTCACTGTTCATGATCTAACCTCTATGAAAGAACTCCTATGATATCCCTAAATTACCAGTTATAGCAATTATCTGTTAGAAGAATGACAACTCCATTTTTCGTAGGTGTCAGACCACCAATTCAAAATCCCTTTTGCAAATTTCACAGCTTTCTAAACATTTACCTAAGTTTAACTTCATAGAAACCAGGTATATCCTGAATTGTACATGTATCGTCTTTCTACATGCCAATTTTCAACCTATGTTTAAAGTCTTGTAAGGAACTAACAATATTTGGAAGACAAGTACTGCTAAAAATAAACCCTAATTTTCTGGAAATCTTGAATAAGTATACTATCCTCAATTTTTAATGCAAACTCATGGACAAGTAAATGTTGGCTCAAAATGGTCTAAATATATTTCTCTTTCAACAAAAGTTCCATTTCTGCAAATTTGTTGGTTAGTTTAAGTAAACAATGACATCAAAAGCACTATTTTTGTTAGGGAAGGGCTACTTTTACATACGTTCTACATTGGAGTGGGTGAATTAGTGGTCTGACAAATCTTATGTATAAATTATATCCTAACCTCACTTCTCATGTATCGGTTATTGCTGCTTGTGTAGTTTTCTTTAGTAAGGATTTGTGCCCAATAAAACAATGTTAAGCAAACTAATAAAAAATTATTTTCCTTACACCAAACAATTTTTGTTGGATTAGTGCCAATTTTCTAATTTTAAGTTGCAATTAATCTATTTCATATAAAAAAAAAATTACTATTTAGAACTTGAGTTTGATATTGGTCTAATGACATTTGCAAAACAATCACTTTTGGTCCCTGACACAAAATGGCTTCTTTTGGAGTGAAAAAAATATACTGTCAAAAAAATGTGACTGTTATACAATTAGAAGACTGATTACTTACTTGATCCTAATAACTTCCTGTAATCTTTCTTCTTTTTCTTCACCTGAAGATCATTAATCATTAAGCATTTAATGGTCATGTATAATTTTATCACATTGCATTTTTAAATTTTAATATACAAAGAGATTAAATTCAGTATAAAACTATATCAGAACAAGTGAATCTGTGAGCTACTGCTCACTAATGATACCCCCGCCTGCTAAAAGTATAAGGTAAACAGGAAGTTGTTGAGTGATGAATCTGAAAATGCATCACACGGTACAGCGGACTTATATAAACCCTGAAAACAAATTTCAGAAATCCTTGTATTGTAGTTCTTGAGAAAAACGTGCCGAAAAATATTCATGGGACGGATGGACGGACTGACGGATGGACCGACAGAGGTAAAACAGTATACCCCCACTTTTTTAAAGCGGGGGTATAACAATACACCTTGGCTGTTTTCTGCTCTTTGGTTGGGTTGTTGTCTCTTTGACACATTCCCCATTTCCATTCTCAATTTTACCTTGTTGCTATTTGTCGGCCATTACTGGCCATCACAGATGTTCCCCTACAATTTTAATACATAAGAGAAACGTCTGACTCAACAATGCAAACTTGAGTGTTGTTTGACGTCAATAGTTTAAGTGTTGCAAATTCTGAAATAGTGCTAAGGTATATGATATCAGATGAAAATCTGATTAATGAAAACAAAATATAAAGCTGTCAAGTCAAAAACGTATTTCCAATATTTTTTTCTGAGGGTCGAATTCCTACAAAATATTTTCTAAAGACATTAATCTTGGATGTGACTTTTAAATATTTGAAATTTCATTTCAATTCAGCTTACAGCAAAGTAAACTTCAGAATTATCAGTTGCAGATACCAAAAAAATAAGCGCCATCTGTATTCTATATTAAATCAGTTATATCATTCCAAAATAGAGTAGTATTAGCTCAAGACTATATAATGAGTGACAAATGCAAAGAGCAAAATACTTACCCCAGTTATAATGGAAGAAAGGTAACTCAAAGGTAAATTTCTCTATCCCTCCTTTGATGACATAATTACAGGTATCAATATACAGGTAAATATTGAGTGACAGATCCAGGTAGTCAAAGTGATAACAACAGTCGATGCCTGTACAGTAGTCTGGGATGTAACATGTTAAAGCTGATGGTAAATCTGGTAATGATAATGGCTTTGGACATTCTACAGACAAAATCAAAAATGAATTATAAGCACAAAATAAAATTGTAAACCTGAAATAAAATAATGTGGAATATACCATTTCAAAAGACCTTTGCTAGACAAATTGTTGTTGTTCTTTATTAAAACAACAACAAAAACAATGAATGACCAAATTTGTAAAATTGAAAAAACTTTCAAATAAGACATTTTCGTTTTATTTTTTGTTTACAGAAAGAAAACATTAGAATGCATTCAAAGATACAAGCACTGACTCTCCTTTTTATATACACTTACCACTTTTCCATCCCTTTACTGCAGGAGAATACATCTCTGACTGAGGGTCACATTGGGGTTTCTTTAACATGACATCAAGTCCAAGCTGTTGTAACAGTATCTTCACAAATTTCCCCTGTAACTGTCCAGCTATCTCTGCTCCAACCTGGCCTGCCCAATCAGTCAAGGAAAAGTCTGAAAACAATCAAATAAATGACAAGTTACAATTCATGGATGAAGAGGCAAATAAGTAATTTCCAGTATTCAAAGAATTGTATGTTGCTTTGTTAGCAGGTAATAACAAAACCCACGAGATTTAATATCTGTAAAAGAAGTACATGTTGCAGCCAAGGTATGATTACAGGACATCTTGGCCTATCAATAACATCTAAAAATTTTAATTCATCAGTTAATTTATGTGGCAAATTTTTATTAATTTGCAAAAACTCTTTTTTTCATTGTTTTGTGGCCTTGATCTAAACATTGGCTTCAATAATCAAAGAATAACCAGAAAACACTATTTTTGAATCCTTTAATGAGGTTTCTGATATTTCAATTAAACTGGAAGAAATGATTAATTCAGAAAATTTGTCAAGAGTGCAACAAAACAGATTCTGGAAAACATTGCCAACAGTCTCAAAAGAAGTCCTATTCCCATTCTGCATCTGATATACAAAGACTGACAAAATAAATACAGACCTTATAGAATGATTTGAAAGTAAGAAGTATTTTAGTATTGTTGCTTTACATTTCTTTTATATTCTGGATTTTTCATATGATTTTGTATTTTGAACATTCATCATATTGTTAAAGTTTTATTTTCTCCTTTTTTATTGTTAACTGTACTTCACAACAATACATAAAAGTCACAATTGTTCATATTTCTTACTTTTGAGACTCATGGTGGCTTCCATGTCACACATTGGCTGAGGAACTTCTGTTCCCTGGAATATTGCTTCATCAACTTCACATGGCTTCCCTTCTTCCAGACATGTTTTTACATTTAAATCTATCACAAACTTTTTCTCTTCTGGAGGTTTCTTAATGGTAAACCTGAAAAAAACAACATAAAAATAATATGATTTTCAGCAGGATGCTGTATTTATCAAATATTTGCAAATTTCTTCGGTATATACCACTTTGTCCTTTTTCTATTAGACTATATAAGACTACTGGAAGCAAAAGAACAATTCTATCACCTCTCACAATTGTTACCAAAACAAAGTAATACAATTTCGTTTCATGTACATGCTTCGCATCTTTTTTTTTATTTTTCTAGCAAATTGTGAACAAGTACTGCTATTAAATAACTTTAAATGCTGTGTATTACAAAGGAAAAAAAGGTATTTAATCCTGAAAGTATCAATTATTGTAGCATTGCGGCCTAAAAATCTTTCAGATATATTACTTTGAAGATATATATTGAAGCTATTCAAAAGACTTTGTTTTCTTCTGTTGCTTGTTATGGTTTCATTCTCCTATGTAAATGGAACACACCCACACCTTTATACAACAGAAATACTTACTCCAGTTGTATAACTCCATTTGCAAGTGAAATCATCTCCTTCTTTCCTAAAATAAAAGAATGTAATAATGTCTTAAAGTCTTTAAAAAGTCTATGATTGATTTGTGATTGCTTAATGTTGTGTTCTTAAAATCTATTCATTTGATTCAAAGAATTTTCTACAGCATTGTAAGGACTGTTTACATCAATTTGACTTTACCATTAGGTTTAGGGTATATTCAAATTGAATTTTCATTTTAACTTTCTCAGTGTCCTCCCCTTTAGAAAAACATACAGAATGGTTTATTCTAAAGAAAAATTGTATTTCTAGTACGCCTGTATTGTAGTCATTATACATTAAACATTAAACATTGGTCATTGAAATAATCTAACATGGAATACATGTAAGCAAATATTTTACAACTTGAAGCTTTGAATAAATCTTATTTCAATAAAGATGTCAGCACCTCATAAATATTATCAAGGTATACATTACCATTTCTAAATTTGATAAAATTTAAATACATGACCAACAATGAAGTTGGATCTCTACCAACAAGAATGTGTCCATAGTACATGGATGCCCCACTCGCACTATCATTTTCTATGTTCAGTGGACCGTGAAATTGGAGTTAAAACTCAAATTTGGCATTAAAAGTAGAAAGATCATATCATAGGGAACATGTGTACTAAGTTTCAAGTTGATTGGACTTCAACTTCAGCAAAAACTACCTTGACCAAAAACTTTAACCTGAAGCAGGACAGACGGACGTCCGTACGGATGAACGAACAGAAGAACGAACGAATGGACGCAGAGACCAAAAAACATAATGCCCCTAGGTGGGGCATAAAAATTTGACCTCCATTTGAATTTTTCTGTTATTATGGCTGTTAAAATTTAAGGAAATCTACATAGTTGATCCCGTATTCAAATTCATGTCTAACACAACCTTCAAATTTTTACTTACCCCATTCATATTCAAATAGAGAAAATGTATTGTTGATGGTATTTATACCAAAACTGAGTGTGTACTGACAGGGATCCAGTAAGAAGAATGGATGAAGTGTCAGTCCTAGGTATGGTATTTCCACACAGCATTCTATACCCGTACACGTCTCTGTAAAGTGACAACTCATCATGTCCTCTATGTTTGGTAAATTAAAGATACTTAGGGGACATTCTAAAATAAGAACAGAAGCATACATTATACTCAGGGAACACTCTGAAATTATAACAGTAGCATAAATATACTCAGGGCATAAACAAAATCAAAGAAGAACAGAATATATAACAATTAAATGAAGAGACAAAAATATGTCTCAAATATTACAAAGATTCTTACAGTATATATTTTATAAACGTGACTCTTACTGTTGAATAAAAAAAATTTCAATATGTTTTTTCAGGTCTTGGTTTCTATATATATTTCTCTCCTTTTTCTTTTCTCCTACCAAATGTTTGTATCTAAATGTTATAACATATATACAAATATCCGATATACCTAAGTTGATATACCCCTCATCCCATTTCATTGTATGTGTCCATTCTCATAACTACTGAGTCTTCTAAGCGTGATGCACAAACGATTATGTATGCCATCAAATAATTTTGATTCCCGTTATTCTATTAGTGTATTATGCTATACTGTTAGGTTTAAAGTTGGACAAAATTTAATAAGTGGTATTTTCACTTAAAGTAATCATACTGATTCTTCATTATTTTTCACTAAATAAATATAAACAACAGCATTTTCTTTTTGGTAAATATATAACAGATGCATACCATTGTTCCATCCCTGTACAGCAGGACTGTATGGTTTTCTCCTCTTGTCACACTTTGGTCCACTGAAAAATTCTTCCAAGCCCAATCTTTCCACAATAAACTGAACAGCTCCTTCCTTCAGTCCTGCTTTTAATTCTAAACCAAAATCTTTTGCTATTTCTGAGACTGAAAAATCTAAAAAATAAGAACAATGTTTTAGTAAATAAATATAATAAGTGTGTAGGCACCAAAGATTATAAGATAGCAGAGTCATTGCTAATAAAAATTAAAAGCAACATTACCAATTACTATTTTTAACATAGTGAATTACCACAAAATTGTATCTGCCAATAAAAATCAACTGATTATTTCTCTTGGTAGTCAGTAAACTATAATAACATTGACGGTACAAATGTTTAAGCACCAGATACACATTTCGACAATTAATGTAACAAAGTACACCTATCCAGAGAAGCTTTTAATCTTGATTAATTTTGTAAGAATCAATATTTGATGAATAAAAATATGAGAATTTTTTTGTTAAATATGCACTCCACAACTAAATTCAATGCTTTTGATAATTTGCACACTTATGATATATTAAACAATTTGTATTTGCAAATCTCATATTTAAGATCTGTTAATTCCTGCTTACATTGTACATGATACCTAAAGCCTCAATTGAGTCTCATGGGTTTGATATTTTACTTTATCAATAAGTAGAAAACCTGATTATTCCTACTTATTTGTTCTCCTGAACATTCTCAATAAATCAAATTATTTCAAAATATTATCAACGTAAACTTTCTCTCAAAATAACTAAAAACTGACTTTTCATCATATCTGTAAAGTTTTTAGAACATGCTGGTATTTCCTGGTGTGGAAGTATATGTAGTCCATCCTCTGGTATACAGAATGGGTCATCACCCAGAGGGAAACAGATTGTGATCTTTACATCTAGGATAAATCCTTGACCATTACCCATCTTGTCTATGGAATAACTGAAAAACAAGATACAGAAAGAATGCTCAGTTGATTTTCAATCCTAATAACTATAGAGTTATACAAATTCTTATTGATCTATCATGACAAGAACATCTTTTTTTCCATGGATAAAAAGAAGGAGGGTATAAAATAACAAAGACTAGTTCAGCCAGCACAAATTTCAACAAGCCTGCTTGTCTTTGTATACATTTGTGTGTTTTTAGGGCAGAGAGTTAGTCCATTCAATTTTCAACTCATCTAGACTAAGGTATTTTAGAGCTATGATATAAGGAAAAGACAAATGGCTATTGTTGAAAACTGTATTTTGACCTTGTGATGTCTTTCTATATATTGTGTTGGGATGCTGTCATCTTGATATAAGGTTTACATTCCTTACAATAGGACAAATTACTATAAATTGAATAAATTTTTAGGTTCTATGCAATACTTTTAATATAGATGAGTAGAATATGATTTTTCTA